CTGTAAACAAATAGTACTACACTGTACAAGATGTATCACCTCAGTAATACCTATTTATTTTCTGATAACTATACTACATTTTTTTGGGGGGGGGCCACCCTGCTTCAGTGGGATACAGCCAGTTTGTTGAAAGAAAGAAGAATCTATACTGCATTTCACATGTAAACTCTTGAATAACTAGAGGCAGGCCCCGCTTTATGGCATTTCACTAATACAGCGGTTTCCAATTATACCCATACTTCATTCATTCAGATTTCCTACAATAAATATATTTAAATATATATACTTGACGTGCTGTTGGAGTGTGAACAAAGTAACATTTATGAAGGGGTTCAGGGAAACCGGCAGGCCGGACTTGAGTCCTGGAGATGGGAAGTACAGTGCCTGCACTCTGAAGAAGGGGTGTTAATGTTGCAGTTTAAAAACTGTAGTGTAAAGCACCCTTCTGCCAAGACAGTGATGGAGTGAATGATGGTGAAAGTTTTTCTTTTTCGGGCCACCCTGCCTTGGTGGGAATCGGCCAATGTGATAATAAAAAAAAATATATATATATTTGGAGGGAGGGGGTAAAGGAGGTTTTGTGTGCGAGGGGCTTGGACTTCCAGCAGGCATGCGTGAGCGTGTTTGATAGGAGTGAATGGAGACAAATGGTTTTTAATACTTGACGTGCTGTTGGAGTGTGAGCAAAGTAACATTTATGAAGGGATTCAGGGAAATTGGCAGGCCGGACTTGAGTCCTGGAGATGGGAAGTACAGTGCCTGCACTCTGAAGGAGGGGTGTCAATGTTGCAGTTTTATAACTGTAGTGTAAAGCACCCTTCTGGCAAGACAGTGATGGAGTGAATGATGGTGAAAGTTTTTCTTTTTCGGACCACCCTGCCTTGCTGGGAATCGGCCAGTGTGTTAATAATAATAATAAAAATATATATGCCTCTCACAATAAACTCAGGATGAAAATATTTTAAGGTAAGTAATGTGAGTACTGTATATGCTTTTTTTAGGCATAGCTACATTGCTCACTTAACCCTTTCAGTGTCCGTGCCGTAGATCTACATTTTTACGTTGAGGGTCCAAACCGTACACCTACGCCAAAATTCAATCGGCATCAAATTTAGCGCAAGAAGGCTGGTAGGCCTACATCTGAAAGAATGGGTCTGGGTGTTCAGTGTGCGCACTATAGAAAAAATCTGGACACCTGCATTGCATTGTGGGAACGCCGCCAAAGTAGCTTTGTTCATCGTGCCTGGCAGCGGCAAGGAAGCTCTCACTCCCCACTCACTCTCCTGGCGAATTCTGACTCTCCTCTTCACAACTTACAGTTCTAAGACTGATGGAAGTGGATCTGAAAAGGAATTCTATGGTTTTGAACCATATGGTACCATTGTACCATATGGTACAATGATGCCATGTCATACAATTGTACCATATGGTACAATGGTACCATATGGTATAATATACCATATAGTACATTGTACCATATGGTACATTATACCATATGGTATACTGTACCATATGGTACAGGGTACAGGGACCCTAATGGAAATAAGTCTGTCTGGCTATTTTTGGTTATCCTAGGTTCTCCAAACATATGCTGCTATATATGATAATCTACGTAAGTTTATTTGTGTACACCTAAATGAACTTACAATGCCACATGTGCTTGAGTAAGTTTATTCAGGTGTACACAAATACAGTTACAAAGATTATCATACATTGCAGCATATGTATAAAATCCTAGGATAACCCAGAAAAGTCAGGGATCCCTGTATCTGTACCATATGGTGTCCTGTACCATATGGTACCCTGTACCATATGGTACCCTGTACCATATGGTACCCTGCACCATATGGTACCCTGCACCATATGGTACCCTATAACATATGATACCATGTACCATATAGTCAGTAGGTGTTGATACCACCAGGCACCAGCCAAGACTGAGTGAGTGACGACGCAAGCTAGCTAGTGACTCCACAGTTTCCCAGACAAAGCGCTTTGTCATTCACCTCAAGTAACATGCCGAGTTCCTGTACATTTGTAAATATATAATAGAACATTACTAATATACAACATTTTTACATATTTTTGTTGTAAACAATTATTGTAAATGAAATAATGATGAAAATATTAGTGTGTTTATTGTGTTGAATACAACAGTACCATATAGTACCATATGGCACAATGTACTGCATGGTACAATGAACCATATGGTATCACTGTAACATATGGTACAATGTACCATATGGTACATTGCACCATATGGTACCATTGCACCATATGGTACCATTGTATCATATGGTACCATTGTACCAAATGGTGCCATTGTACAATATTCTTCCATATGGTACCATTGTACCAAATGGTACAATTGCACACTATGGCACCATTGTACCATATGGTACTATATGGTACCGTTGTATTCATCACAATAACCACACTAATATTTTCATCATTTTGTTTACAATAAACTTGTAAACAAGTTTTGTAAGCAATATAATGATAAACAAATTAGTGCAGTTATTGTGTTGAATACAATGAGTATACACTTATACAATATACATTATACTGGTCTCACAGGCCACAAATGTTATTAGAAAAAGAAAAAATTAGAAAAGAAAAGAAAAAAGTATAAAAAAAGTAAAATAAAAAAATGCAATTTTGCGGAAGTTGTGATGTTGCCGCCACCCGGTCATTTTGGGTCAACTTCCCGCCACTGTATCTCAGTAAGTACTGATCAGAAAAAAATTTTTTTTTGTTTTATTACCTTCACAAAAGTATTATCTTTACTACGACTCGTTTGTGAGTATTATCTTTAATTCTGTAAGAATTTTTTTTTTTTTTTTTTCAAAATTTCTTGGACACTGGGGCACAAACCCCTTCAGATTTTGACCTTGGACCCTGAAAGGGTTAACCTCTTGACTGTCGCCGTCATATATATACGTCATAGGAGATACCGTGTTTGACGTATCTATACGCATAAATTATAGCGGCTTAAAATCAAGCAGGAGGAAGCTGGTAGGCCCACATGTGAGAGAATGGGTCTCCATGGTCAGTGTGCACCATATAAAAAAAAATTGGGGAGCCAGTGGTGCATTGTGGGAATGCCATTTCAGTCGTCTTTTTCCAGCATGTCTACGGTAAGAAATATGTGACTCCCCAGCAAATCTGGGACTCTTCTCTTCCCAAGTTATGCTCTAACACAGATGGAAGTGTCAGTGAAGATCAATTTCATGATTTCCAGGAGTTTGAGACCAAAAGCAATGGCCGAGGAGGAGGAGGAGGAGGAGGAGGGAGGAGGAGAGGAGGAGGAGGAGGAGGAGGAGGAGGAGGAGGAGGAGAGGAGGAGAGGAGGAGAAGAGAGAAAAGGAGGAGGAGAGGAGGAGGAGGAGGAGGAGGAGGAAGAGGAGGAGGAAGAGGAGGAGGAAGAGGAGGAGGAGGAGGAAGAGGAGGAGGAAGAGGAAGAGGAGGAGGAGGAGGGAGGAGGAGGAGGAAGAGGAGGAGGAAGAGGGAGGAGGAAGAGGAGGAGGAAGAGGAGGAGGAAGAGGAGAGGAAGGAGGAGGGGAGGAGGAGGAGGAGGAGGAAGAGGAGGAGGAGGAGGAAGAGGAGGAGGAGGAGGAAGAGGAGAAGAGGAAGAGGAGGAGGAAGAAGGAGGAGGAAGAGGAGGAGGAGGAAGAGGAGGAGGAAGAGGAGGAGGAGGAAGAGGAGGAGGAAGAGGAGGAGGAGGAAAGAGGAGGAGGAGGAAGAGGAGGAGGAGGAGGAGGAAGAGGAGGAGGAAGAGGAGGAGGAAGAGGAGGAGGAGGAAGAGGAGGAGGAAGAGGAAGAAAAGGAGGAGGAAGAAGAGGAGGAAGAAAGAAGAAGAAGAAGAAGAAGAGAAAAAGGGAAGAAGAAGAAGAAGAAGAAGAAGAAGAAGAAGAGGAAGAGGAAGAGGAAGAAGAAGAAAGAAGAAGAAGAAGAAGAAGAAGAGGAAGAGGAAGAAGAAGAGGAAGAAGAGGAAGAAGAGGAAGAAGAGGAAGAGGAAGAAGAAGAAGAGGAAGAGGAAGAAGAGGAAGAGGAAGAAGAGGAAGATGAAGACGAAGAAGAGGAAGAAGACGAAGAAGAGGAAGAAGATGAAGAGGAAGAAGACGAAGAGGAAGAAGACGAAGAGGAAGAAGAGGAAGAAGACGAAGAAGAGGAAGAGGAAGAAGAAGAAACAATATATTGTTTCAGACTTTGGAACAATACTCTTCTCCAGACTGAGGGACTGACCACCTCAAAACTTTAAGGGTGATGGACTAATTACAGCGTCTTCAAGTATCTTCTGCTTCTACCAACTTTTCTGTACTCGACTGAAGAAGCCTACTGTGTAGGCGAAACGTTTCGAAATAAAGATACTTAACTGTTGCATATGTGTCTTACCTAACAACCTGTCGGTATTTTATACCATTTTAATGTTCATTCAGAATGAAAGAGATAGAATGAGGGAGAAAGATAATTAGATAGAATGGAGGGGAAGCAGCATCCGACCCCATTGTTTTGACAGGCGGGAGGGGGAGTGAGTAATGAGACAATATGTCATTTTGACAGCTGCCGACCCCTGACTCAAAACAATTATAAGCCACACACTCACACACAAGACAAGCTTGATGAATGAAGATAATAGCAGTTATATGAAAGTATCTAGTGGCTATATATGTGTATATATATACTATAGAAACCAGAAGGAAGGAAGAATGGAAGGCAGGAATGAAGGAAGGACGAGATGAAAGGAAGGAAAAAAGTAAGGAAAGATGAAGGAATGTAGGAAGGAAGGTAGGAAAGGAATGCAGGAAGGTAGGAAGGTAGGTAGGAAAGGATTGCAGGAAGGTAGGAAAGGAATGCAGGAAGGTAGGAAAGGAATGCAGGAAGGTAGGAAAGGAATGCAGGAAGGTAGGAAAGGAATGCAGGAAGGTAGGAAGGAAAGTAGGAAAGGAATGCAGGAAAGGAATGCAGGAAATGAATGATGACACATGACCATTTACCTA